GATCCAGACTTTAGAGTTTGGACCCCTCTCTAGAAATAAAGCACAAATATTAATAAGGAGCTCTACTACCCAAAGGGTTCCAACACCTAACAGTCTACTTGTGCAGTTGCTCCATGTGCACAACTCTCATTGACTTCAGTGGGAATTTTATACATAGGGTAGCTACCGGGTCAGACTCTAAAGAAGGGGACCCCTGAAGTCCAGAATTTTGTTCATCGATAAACATGTTTAAGGTATTTGGCGATACTCAGTGAATGGCCGGATAGAAGGGCAAAGTATCATAATTATTTCATGTCCAGGCTTTTAAACACTTAATCCCCAACTATAAAATTGCAGTATATTTTGTTCTGGAGGAGAGATACATCACTTGTTGTTGGTCTGTTAGATGGTGTCACAGTGACCACTCTTGGCCAGGTTCTTTGGTGCATGAGTGGGATTGCATGGGGGCAAGGTGGCTTTGAACCACTTTTTTTTTTTTTTAAATAATGGAGATATACCTATCTCCTAGAACTGGAAGGGACCTTGAAAGGTCATCAAGTCCAGTCCCCTGCCTTCACTAGCAGGACCAAGTACTGATTTTGCCCCAGATCCCTAAGTGGCCCCCTCAAGGATTGAACTCACAATCCTAAGTTTAGCAGGCCAATGCTCAAACCACTGAGCTATCCCTTCCCTCTTGTATGCCCCCTCTTCTTAATCCAGGGGACCAAGGGGCTCTGCAGCATAATTTAGTGCAGTTTCAGGGCTGCTCTAATATGTGCCTGGCTGCCCACAGTATCACAGGGCCACTCCAGCAGCTAGAGATTGCTGGGGCATAGGAACAACAAAAAAATCTTTTGGGAACACTCAAGAGTTGTGGATTCCTTGTGCTGCAGGAGAGGCACAAAACAGCGGTAGAGCGAGGCCAAGAATCTGCCCCTGTGTCTCCTTAATCAAACGAAATACTTGCATGTTATGTTTAATTTAAACTAGACAGTGCAAAAGACCCCACCAGAGATGTTATCCAGGGCTGAATAACCATAAAAAAGCTAACAATGCACTGTCTGTGCAACTTATTTAATGAGAGCCCCACGGAGCCCTTCTTTGTGGTGTATTGAAAACTCGGTTAAAATTGTGATCTATAACTTTGAATTCTCAGAGGTCTTCCCGATCCTGCTTGCAGCAGATGGCTCTGTAGGGAAGCATGTAATCAGAGTCAGTCTGAGCCAGCAAACTTTGAGTAAGGTGGAGTGAATTGTACATCTCTGCCTTTGGGAGCAGCCTGTTTTGTCTCTCTCTGTTTTGGGTCCTTGTGTGCCAAGGTTCTGAAGTCTAAGAAATAAAGTAGTGTTACATTGCAATTTTCAAGCAAGAGTATTTTAGGTTTTTATCTAACTTCTCTGTGTGTATGCTGTGAAACCTAACACTCTCTACCTTTCATTTTTCATCTGTCAGCCAGGGCCTCCCTTTCTTTGGCCAGCAATTTTACAAATGAATCAAAATGGCATGTTTCCATCTGGTCTCAGAAATCCATTTTACTGGGTAACAGTGTGTGAGTGCTAAAGGGGTTAAGGAAGAGAATACCAGATTAATGACTTTTCTCACTTGGATCAGAACAAAGGCAGGGTAAAAGATAGTTTGATTTTTTCTTTATAGCATCACTAGAATTTAATCCCAACTTTATCTGTCTTTCAAATTACCGTGCTTTGATGTTCTAACACAACGACTATAAGTGGCTAATACAAGATACTGATCAAATATACTACAGGGCTGGGTGGCTCCTGTGTACAGAACACTTGTACTGAGTCAAAGAAGCTTATTAGGAACAATGAACTGAATTGTACCTGCTCGACGGCCTTCCCCTTACAAAACTGCAAGGGCAGAAATATCAAGCAAAAAAAGTGACTTGCTTCACTACGAGAGAGGAACCTACATAGATGGGCTGTCCAAGAACTTGTTAAATGTATAAATTCTTTAATGCAGGGACAGGGGTGGACTAAGGAAGGGTCATTGGGCTCTGGAGTCCACAGTGAGAGGGAACCTGAACACATCACATGGACAGGCAGTGATACATAACAGCTGATTGCTACTTGTTGCCTTTTTCTGGCCTGGCTCATCTACAGCCCTAGCCTTTAAATTTCCTTCTTCTCCTGCAAAAATGAAGTATCTTTTTTATTTTTACAGTGGTGTTCAGTGGAATTCACCTAACGGGCAAGAAATCCCCTGATGTCTTTTAAAGGGCCAGGACTGGACAGGAAGAGCAATGATTTTGGAGTGGGTCATAAACAGCCAGGAGTCTATTAGGATGAAGAAAAAAATTCTGTCAAGGGAGCATCTGAGCACCAAACTTAATATGTCACTAATCTCAGCCCCGGCAATATTCGCTCCCTCTCTCAACCAAGGTTATTAAAGTAAAACAAGTTACCCTTGCCAATGACCATGTTATACACACACTGGTAACATTTTACACTCACTATTCACTTTGGCACAGGCCCCTCCCTGTGATGTTGCACTCTATACGATTTTATGAAAATATGCTAATGTAACTGGAATATGCTTCATGCAAAAGGTCTCTTGTAAGGTATCATTACAAAGCTTATAATCTACTGAGTGTGATCATCCTATTTGTATAAATGTATCACTCTTGTATCTGAAACTAGAAATATGAAATATAACTCTGAGGGCCTATTGTAATTATGCAAAATGTGGGCTGTTAATGGTGGTTTGAAATCTTGATGACTCCCATTAACCAGGACAATTGACTGCAGCTGGCTCTGTTTTACCTGTAAGTCTTCCTGTATACGTGTGTGCTGGCAAGTGGGTAATGAAGGCTTACAGTGACATATGATCATGTCACCTGAACTGGAATCCATCTTTAACCTGGTGCTTTTCCATTGAGCTGTGGGGGGGATGGGACCCAGAGGGACAAAGGATTCCCGCCTTATGCAAAAGATATATAAGTGGGTGGAACAAAGAAAAGAGGAGAGCCATCATGAGGAATCTCCTGGCTACCACCTGAGCTGGAACAAGGGCTGTACCAGTGGAAAGGATTGTGCCCAGACTAGGAAGGCATCCAGTCTGTGAAAGAAACATATTGAAACATCTCTGAGGGTAAGATTTTATCTCTATTCAGTTTCTTACTGTATTAGACATAGACTTGCGTGTTTTATTTTATTTTGCTTGGTAATTCGTGTTGTTCTGGCTGTTACTACTTGAAACCACTTAAATCCTACTTTCTGCATTTAATAAAATCACTTTTTACTTATTAATTAACTCAGAGTATGTGTTAATACCTGGGGGGAGGGGAACAAACAGCTGTGCATCTCTCCCTATCAATGTTATAAAGGGTGAACAATTTATAAGCTTTATACAGGGTAAAACGGATTTATTTGGGGTTAGACCCCATCGGGAGTTGGGCATCTGAGTGTTAAAGACAAGAACACTTCTGTAAGCTGCTTTCAGTTAAGTCTGCAGCTTTGGGGCAAGTAATTCAGACCCTGGGTCTGTGCTGGAGCAGACTGGCGTGTCTGGCTCAACAAGACAGGGTGCTGGAGTCCCGAGCTGCCAGGGTAGGAAAGCGGGGCAGAAGTAGTCTTGGCACATCAGTTGGCAGTTCCCAAGGGGGTTTCTGTGATTCAACCCTCACCCCCCCCCAAAATCATGAGATTGGCTTAAAAGCATGTTTAAAAAATAATAAATTTGGGGTTCTTTCATTTGCCTTCTGGTGTTGGGTCTGTTTCACATTTTCAAGTTTTTCTTCACAACCATGATGGAAAAAAAAACAATTAAAAACAAAAAATAAAACTGTACAATAAGAGTCTCACATAATCACATGACTCCAAGAGCCGAGGCTTTAACAGCAACACCAAATACTGCAAGACTCTTGATAAAACCACAATGGTTGGCAACACTACATTTTGCCCAGAGGGAGGACTACACAAGTTTCAGGGCAGTGGAGAATCAGGCCCTAAAGCTCAGATTATGAAAGGTATTTAGGCACCCAGGGCCGACTCCAGCTTTTTTGCTGCCTCAAGCAGCGAAGAAAAAAAAAGAAAAGATAAAGCCACGATTGGTGGCAGCTCTACCGCACCACTTCATTCTTCGGCGGCAATTCAGCTGCTGGTCTTTCCCTCTGAGAGGGACTGAGGGACCCGCCGCCGAATTGCGTCCGAAGACCCGGACGTGCCACCCCTTTCCATTGGCCGCCCCAAGCACCTGCTTCCTGCGCTGGCCCTGTAGGCACCTAACTCCCATAGACTTTAATAGGAGACAGGCACCAAAATACCTTTGAGGATCTGGACCTAAGTGACTTCCTGAGTGCTCCAGAGGGACAGAAGCCAAGATTAGACCTTAGAATTATTTTATCATCTTTCTCTTTTGATTGCCAGGCACCACAGTATTAAGGGTCAAAGTTCTTGGCTCCCAGATGCTCAGACTACTACATCTCTCTCCAATAAATAATATAACAACAATAACAATGGAGAGAGACCACGGACCAGGTTCTCTACTGGTTACACTGAGTTTAAAGGAGTGACAGTGGTATAAACTTTAGTGTAACCCAGTGGAGAACCTCCAGGCACCCTTGGTCAAATTCACCCTGCAGTCAGAGGGGTCATCCCATTGTAACAGATAGACTGAATACGGCCATCATCTCTGCATGTATTTTGAAAAGCCCAATGCTCTATCAAAAGAAAGTCAGTGTATTGTTACTATTAGCAATGATCAATTTAATTATTATTAATAATTAAAGCTGCACTTAAGTGTAACAATTTTTTTTTAAATAATGTGACTCTTACTTTGCCCGGTTACTGATTGGCCACTCACGTACCAATGCCCCGAACAGTTATTTCCCTTTCAAAATAAACAGATCTGCAAGCTCGGGAAATAAAGAATTGCAGCAAGTGCAGGTCCTCTCCTGCCTGTGATTGGATCGGGCTGGCGGTGAGATCACGGGGGGGCTGGACTGTAGGTAGGGGAGGGCTGGTTTGCGACAGCGCTTGGAAGGATATTAACCAGTGCAGGGACAGGGGTGGTTGTATCTGTTGTAGCTTCCCTGAGGTACACTACGGGGGTAAGTAGCACCGATGGAATCTTAACAACGCCAACGTTCTGTTTTCGAACGTTTGCTACTGTGGCCTCTTGGGCACATGTTCCCCAGAGAGGTGTGTATAGAAAGGGGTGGGCTTCACGCTTGGGGTATATACAGTGGGGGGGGGGGTGCACTGTCGGGGCAGGAGAAGGAGGGAAGGGGAAAGTGATCAGGTCTGGCATTTCAGTGTCTCTGATCGGGATTGCTTTGTTTTTGGTCGTCAGCGTTTGTGTGTTTTCCCTTAAGAGACGAATCAATCTTTCAAGGGATGGATGAATGGGGTGGGGAAAGGGGTTGGTGCCTGGCTCTTTCCCCTCCCCCTTTGCTCAGGCCGCTGCAGATCTCCGGGAAAAGAAGGGTTATTCTTGGGGGAGGGGGAGCAGCTCACTATAATAGAAAAGCAAGCGGGACACGAATCGAAGTTTATTGCGGGCTGCGGCGGCTTGATTTAAAATGGAAGGGGACCAGAAATCGTGGATCAACCACTTAATTCCCTCTTACTATAAAATTCTATTGGCTTTTTTTTTAAATAATCACTCCTTGCCCCCTCTCCCTCCCCAGCAAACAAGTTCTAGCAGAAGGGCAGGAAAGCGCTATTTTCTGTTGTAACCTTTGGCATAGGCTCGGCACCCCCTTCCCTGATAAATACCCTGCACCGAGTCTAATCTGATTGCTTGGGTGAGCACCAGTAGCGAATCCGGTGGGAGGGGGGAAAAGCTGGGGCAAGAGTTCCTTTCCCACGATACTTTTCCCCCCTCTGCCCACCCCCGCTCGTGGGCTTTGAACTAGGAGCCGTGATGCTGGGGTAGGAGCAGCAGCTGCAGAAAGGCAGTTTTGTTTAATTGATCTCCAAAAGAATAGAGCTTTTGTTGGGGGTGGGGGAGAAAAGAATCCTGGCCTGGGCTCCCTATTAACAGCCTTGATTAGTTCCATTAGGGGAAATAAACGATAATAAATCAACCACGCTGCCTTAGAGCTAACAAAAAAGGTCCAATATTTCTCGTTTGTGTTTGTCTCTGGCAGGCAGCAGCTTCTGATCATGAAGAAGAAAGCGAAGGCTTGGAGGGGAGGCTTGGATCCTTGGCTCTGAGCCACGTGTTGTGTGAAGCACCCAAAGCCAGGAGAGATGTATTTTCCATAAATAACTCTTGCTCACACATACTGTGCCATGGGCTTAAGGCCTCTTGAGACAGGGATGGTTTTGTTTTGAGATAATCTCTCTCTGTGTGTGAGTGACACGACCGATTTCTTTTGGGGAGGGGAAATGGAAGACTATACAACTAGAACCTATGGCACTGGTGGACTGGACAACAGACCTCTCTTTGGAGAAACTTCAGCAAGGGTAAGACCTGATTGTGCTTTGGAGAGATCTCTCTGCTGCCCCCTTTCCCCTCCAAGAGCTGGCTACTGAAGGGCTCCTTTCTGAAGCTGAGAGAGCTACTCAGTTTGTTGGAAAGCAGTATTGGCGGGGCTGGCTCCAGGCACCAGCGTTCCAAGCAGATGCTTGGGGCGGCAATCGGCAAGGGGCGGCAGTCTGGTTTTTGCCGCTCCAAGCAGCGCGCCGAACTGCCGCTGCGGACGTCGGGGGCAGTCTGTGTCCAGTTAGGGCGGCACGCGCGTTTCCACGGCGGTGGCAATTCGGCGGCAGCTTCTATGTTCAGCTACCCATGCGGGCGATTCGGCGGCTTCTGTCTTCCGGCTGAAGACAGAAGCTGCCGTCAAATTGCCGCCGCCGCGGAAACGCGTGTGCTGCCGTAACGGCACGCAGACTGCCCCTGCCATCTGCGGTGGCAATTCTGTGCGCTGCTTGGGGCGGCAAAAACAGTAGAGCCGGCCCTAGGGTGACCAGATCACAGGGATGAAATATCGGGATGCGGGGGGGCGGAGCAAAAAAAAATGGCGGCGGAGCAAAAAAAAAAAAAAAG